ATATATTATCTGTACATTGCCAAGCTCTACTGTGACCTCACAAAACACGTCTTTGGCCAGAACTTAAGGATTCATTTACTAGTTATGAAGAAAATTTCACATAAATGTCAAAAGAGATAAAATGATTAAGTGATGGCATTTTATATCCAAGTGGTCAACTTCAATGTGACATCATAATTCTCTGCAAAAACACTTTCTAGCCATTATTCAACATCATAACTCAGGGATGGAAGGGGAGACATTTTGAATTTTTGTGACACTAATCTCGGGTGTCCATCTTGAAACTGTGCTGATTGTATAGATCTTCCTTACTGCCGGGTTTGGTCTACATTTGGGGGTCCTCCACTAGAAAAGTTTGAGCATCAGACATTTAATTTACTGCTTTTAGGTACATTTTTTTGCACCAATTTCTACATATAGAAGGGGATACCATGCACGTTACGTTGTGGAGTTGCAGAGAGCACTTTATAGTAGATTGATAGATAGTAGGCTAAATGGGGAGTGATTTCAGACACAGCCCTGGTATTATGCATGCTCGCTCACTGTCACAGCACCATGGCTGACTGGGACACTTCAACAGAGCAGAGGCATCATTAATATTATTAGCAACACCTGTGCATTTGCTGCTGTGAAGTCAAAATGTCTGCTGTGAAAAATGCCTATCAAGTTCTAGAGATTATCTCAGGGATAATTAGTGCAAACAGGATGCACCTGAGCTCAATTTGGAGTGTCACAGAAGACACCGAGTACTCATTCACATTTTATTTTGCTGAAATGTCCAACTTTTGCCTAAAAAATATTCAGCATTTTAACAAAAACACTACAGCTCGCACATTTCATGTACATAGCTCGAGTCAGCTGTTACTGTACACAAAAAAACACTGAAACTCTTTTGAAAACAGTTGGAAAAAAAATAAAGATATGAATTCCATTTCTCTTCAAGTGGCAGATACTAACAGAGAGAAGGAAAAAAAAGTGTTTGGGTATCTGCATTTTTTTCCCTTTTCACATTTTAAAGCCATGTGTGCCTTCAAGCTGTGTCAAATCCAAGTGAAATTGAGATAAACCGCTCTGAGCTTACAATAAACTCAGCTCTAGGGTTGTCAAACACTGTATTAAGTCCATAAGAAGCAGATTATTGACTCTTTTCCATGCCTTTTTGTAATGCAAACAGCTGGAACAAACAGCTTGTAATCTGTCTTAAAATCTGTCTCTCATCCCTGAGGCTTCAGCTCAGCCTGACAGCGTGAATAAGAAGCGCTTGCTGTGGCAGCAGTGTGTGATCTCACTGCAGTGGTGCTTGTTAGATTGGATTAGATTGATTGCGTCTGTAAATATAATCTTGATTATCTGTCCCTTTGCATTTGCAATCAACAGCTCTGCCACTTATTATTGTATTATAATTATATATATTATATAATTATACTACATACTATATTATAAATGGTGCCATTGCAGAAGCTGATGAAGGTAGAGGTTTATGTGGAGGGTGTCCTCAGCTGCCTCCGATGTGCAGTAGAGGTGCTGCAGTGCATTAGTGCTGACAGATATGGTGTTGGGTCATCGCGGGTTGTTGGAGAACACCCAAGAAACTGAAACATATGAGATTCTGACTGTCTTTAATCTCCAGTTTGCATTGGCTGCTGCTCCAACAGAACATTGAAATGATTGTGAGGTTCGGTTGGCTGACCAGAGTGAAATGGGAATAGAACAAAGAGACAGAAAGTAGCATTTGGGAACTTTTTTCTGTATGCTGAACACTACATCAAGTCGAAAGGCCAGACAAAGTCATTTACAAGACCAGCGACTCTGCTGTGTAGTGAATGGAAAGTGGCGAGCCCGTCCTTTGTGACTAATTTATTACAGTTATGGTGACGCGTGGAGTTAATAGAGTCAGTGTAAAGCACTAAGATGACCACAGTACCTGCCAATATTTCCCTTACCCAGGACATTTCTTTACATTTATGGGACAAGGGACTATTTGCTACTGCAGTGTCGGCCACTTGTAATATAAAGCCCCTTTTTCACTGGACAAAAACCCACTAACACCCATTAACATCTGGCTTTTGTATTTAATTTTATAGGTTACTAAGTATTCATTCACGCCCTTAAGCAAGGCATCGAACCCCCAACTGCTCAGAGCGTCTGTCCATGAGCAGCCCCCTCAAACTGACATATAGGTCCTGTTTGTGCATGTGTGTGTACTTCAAGTCTGTGTGTATCTGACAACAGAATGGAAAAATTGAATTTCCCCTCTGGGATCAATAAAGTTTTTCTTTTTCTTCTTCTTCTTCTTCTTCTTCTTCTATTTATCGGCTCCAACTCCGATCGGCTCTGATCGGCAGTGATTAAAACATGACACTTGAGTGGACCATGGATGTAAAAAGAGAACTGGATACAGTGTTAGATGTGGGGCCCTGTTCATTTCAATGAAAGTTGCTCAGGCATGAAGCCAAAAGTGTCAAACTGCCATCTAGAAATTACCTGAATGATTGGCACTTCCTCTGTGTCATTGGGCCCATAGAGTGGTCGCTCAAGATGCTTCTAGCAACTGAGCCAGCTACTTCCGGTTTAGCCCTTTGCTAACTTGAATGGGGATGAAAATGATTTAATTGTGTGGCTATTCTAGACTTTCCAAATGTTATTGAACTGAATGGATCAAGTTCTGATAGTTAAAGGAGCCATTCTGCAGGGGTTGTGACACTCAAAAAAATGTATCCACGTACATGCAGACATCTATTTCACGGTGTAAGTTAGGCTGACCAAACGTCCTCTTTTGCGGACATGTCCACTTTTCACGTCCTGTCCGGGGCGTCCGGGGGATGTTTATAAATTGATGATAATGTCCGGTTTTCCTGTGTGTGTGTGTGTGTGTGTGTGTGTGTGTTAGAGTGCGGCAGGGGCTGCATATTTCTGTCTGAACCCGACTGAGTCCGAGAGAACCCGACAGTCATTCTGTCTTGTTATGTCCGAAACCGAACCGAGCCCAACATTATTTAATTACTAAAGCACTGAGTTTGTGTCACACAGTTGTTATGGTTACAGGCTATTTAACAAGCCGGGCGTGCGCCGTGGGTGCTCCGCGGAGAGGGAGACCTTCGTGTTTGAGACGGGAGCAGGCGGCGGGAGGTCCGATGCTTCCAGCGAGGGGAGAGGGAGAAATATAACAAAATAAGATAAAATAGGAAAAACCTGTCTCCCTATTTTATTTTCAGCGTTTAATCAAGGCGGAGGCGGGCGGCGGGAGGTCCGAGGGTTCCAGCGAGGGGAGAGGTAGAAACAAACAGCCAATGTGTGTGTGTGTGTTCTGTTCAGGTGTTGTCACATAAATAACAGTGCCCAAGCAATAAACAGGACAGACAATAGGATTTTATTTATTTTTACACTACATTTTCACTGAAAGCTCAATGGCCCAATGGCATCATGTGACAGACTCAGAAGTTGTAATTCCACTGTATGACAACTACAAAAATTTACTAAAGAACCCGGTGCACTTCCTAAGGGCCTGGGATGGATGCACTCGTACATCGTCCAAAATAAGTTGGCACCAAGTTTGAAAGATATAAAAAAGAAGTAACCACTGAAACATTTTCACAGGGCTCCATGCTGCTTTTTACTGTTCACTAACCCTGTTTCTTGGCACGTTTGTGACACTGAACATAAAACAACAGTAAAAAAAGCAAAAGGTATACTCATCTACTGCAGAGCCATTTCCACCCCTATGGTCTATTTGCAATGGGAATGTTGTTGATGTCGATCGCCTGTTTTAGCTAATTTTGGTGGATTAAGATCATGAGAGGTTGAAATGAAAGACTTAACAACACTGCTGTTCATTGGTATAGATTTTGTGGGGAGCGAGGAACACATCCTCCTCAATATTTAGAATATGTGCATTTGTTGCCCCCAGTAAAAACATGAAAGTACTGGATGACTTTTATTTAGACAAAATTGAAGACAATTAAAAAATAAATTGATGCAGAAAAGGCCCAAATTGATGTGAAAATATATATAAATGCAGTAAATTAAGTGTTTAATGCTCAAAATTTTCTGGCAGAGAACCTCTAAACTCTCCCCAGGTTCACATGTGTAGCCTCAATGTTGAAACGGAACCTATGACCTTGATACTACCACAGTGTGGAAATACTCAGTAACAATTAAAGGCCCTGAAGCTGAAATACTGAAATACCAGATTGCAAAAAAAAATTAGATATCTGATGCTCAATGTTTTTTTTACAAAGGATACCCAAATCCTCCATATCACATGTGAGTCCCCCAGTATTGGAACTAAAACTGTTTATTTGGTTTGTTATGCTGGGAATCAGATTATAATGGCTAATCAGCTCTTTGTTAAAGCACTATTAAATGCTTGTTAAAGCATTTAACAGCATTTAACTCCCCGAACATGGAATGCAAAAACATCTCCATGTTTGCAGACATGCAGAGAAAGGGAAAGGTGCAGTCTAAGGTTGAGATGGTGCTTCAGCCTCATTCAGCACAGATGAGGGTTCCTGATGCACCTCAGAGGGTTGACCTTGAGGTTAAAGTTACAATATATGAGCTTATTATAGGAGACAGGTGGTACGGCCCAAGGTGGTGTTTAGTATGGACATCATTATACACCTTCTGGCGCTGCGTCCAGGCTGCGCTCTTTGATAGAATGTGAAATTACATGTGAAAGTCTTCTCGATTACATATTAAACAGTTCTGGTCTTGAACTTGTCAGTGAGCTGAGCATACTTTATTCTCTGTGTAATTATTTCTGTTAGCTGCCCAACCTGAGAGAGCCTCAATTTTTTAACAAGAAACCTACAACCTACTTATCTTGCTCTGATCCATTAAACATTTTACACACCTTCACCACCTCCATCTGTTACATTACCTCTGTCTGACCTTTGACCTACTGTATGAACCTATGCATGCGACAGCCTCTGCCTGCTCCACCCGTGCCACCTTGCTCAGACCCCCCCGCCTTGCCTCTGTGTTCCCTCCCCTCCACGCAGGTCGGCGACCAGATCTTGGAGGTGAATGGCCGCAGCTTTCTGAGCATCCCGCACGACGAAGCCGTCAGGGTCCTGAAGTCGTCACGGCACCTCATGATGACAGTGAAAGACGTGGGGCGCCTGCCGCACGCCAGGACAGTGGTGGGTGAGACCAAGTGGATCGCCAGCTCGCAGATTGGAGAGAGCTCCGCCAACAGCAGCGTGGCAGGGTGAGTTACCCTAACCTGCTAATACTAGTTTGTACTGTTAATGTACCACAGTGTAACCAACAAAGTAATCACATTTTGAGAAATCAAACCATTTTTGTCAAACTGCATTTATTTTGGTTTTAAATTATTATCAACAAGCAAATAGCCTTTTAACTCTACTACCCACAGACAAGAACACTTCAATTTAAAACAGTTGCACACAGCATATGAAGCAAAATGAATAAAAAGCAACAAATAAAAAGACGACACAGAGTGGCTGTGAAAATGAAAATGGATTTTCTAATGTAGGGGATACAAAGAAAAATTAATTAATCAATAAAATGAAACCCAAATCAAGCCAGATGAAATTAGAGTTTTAGTTTTATAAAAAATAACTTGCTGAAACTGTCTCTATATTCACACAGCACTAAATGAGACAGATAATGTTCCCCTTCCTACTCTGTTGCCTTGCAGTGCTTCTAATGGCCTTATTGCATGTGAACAAAAACAACCAATCAGAGCAGAGGAGTCTCCAAGGTAGCTGTCAATCACTGTTCATGAACTACAGTCAAACTGCTGTTTGGCTGTAAATTAAGGAAGTTAGTCCGGCTGTTGCGTGGTAGTCTAAGAATTTGCTCTTGTTTGCAATAGTTGGATAAGTAGACTGATACTGCTCTCATGTCTGTGCTCTAATTATGAAAATAGAACCGAGAAACAGTTAGCTTAGCATAAAGAGTGAAAGCAGGGGGAAATAGCTAGCCTGGCTCTGTCCAACAGTAACAAAATATGCACACCAGCCAACACATTCTCACTCCAACCACCTCACATATTGATGTTTGGTCATGGGCTTTCCACGTCCACATCCAAATACGACGTCAAAGGTACCCTGGGTGTGTTGGTTGTTGACGTTCTGGGAGGCCATGTCAAGTTCTGCCTGTTACATGCATTGTCTTCTTTCAAACTAAACACACTACGTCAGTACAACAATGTGAATTGACGTTTTTTTCCCCTCCAACAACTAATGTATGTGGTTAGCTTTAGGATAAAAGAACAGGGTTTGGCTTTATAATCTTACGGGATGACAACGCCACTCTCCTGGCTGAAAGTCGGTGTTTGTTGGACCCGTCCACTGCCCCTCCCACTCACCCTACTGGGACTTTCGCCACCTTATCTTTTGTTATTGTCCTGCCGCATTTCCCCTTGATGCCGCCGCGCACTATTAAACTATAATGTCAACCAGCCACATATCATGCTGGCGTTGAAGGACAGATTTTTTCATCCGTGTCTGATTCTGCAAGTCACCGCCCAAGTGCTGGATTTCAACGACTTCGGTGTGACACCCAGCTCCAACAGCACCTCTAAAGTTCATACATTAACATTTTACGTGTTTTTGTGAAGGGTAATGTGTGTGTTAAACTATTTCTATTTTTTTAGAACAACCAAGAAACAAGAAACATGGAGCAGCATATACACTGAACCCACAACATCCTAACCCACCCCGCTTCTCAGGGCTGGCCTGCACAGACAAAACAGATAAACACCACTAAATATATTTAATACACATGAATGTACAAAATGTACAGCGTCAAGATAGACTGACGGTAATAATCGGGTATTGCAAGTGAATTAACAGCAACAGAATCGACCCGAACAAGTGAAGAAAGAAGAAAAAAAATATTTCCATACAATAGTAGACACACACAGGCATTTCTTTGAAGTATAGACATTATTATAATAGTGCAGGAGTGGTTGCCATTCTCTATGGAATTCACTGACTGATCCAACTTCAAGTGAGCCATGACATCATCGACCCAGCGTCCCAAAAGAGGGGGCAGGTTAGACTTCAAATAATACAGAATGAGACGTCTGGCTGGCAATGTTGAAAAGGCCAAAGTATAGGTCTGGGCTTGGGAGAGACCCAGATCTCTTCATGCATCACCAAATATTGCCAACTACAGCTAAAGGTCTATGTTTTTTTTTTTTTTACACATGTTCAAAAATGTCTCAAAAATCTTGTCCCAAAATCATCCCATCCTCAAACATGCCCAAAATGAGTGGAAAAGAGTTGCTGGGTCTCCATTACACTGCTGACAGGTTGGATAAAAATTCAGGAAACAGCAGGGCAGACAGGTGAAGCCTGTGAAGTACTTTGAACTGAATAACATTATGTCTGACACACATAGAGGCTGAGTGGATCCCAGCCACAGCCAACCTCCAGCATTCAACTGAAATCCTCCCACTGAAGTCATCCTCCCATTTTGATTTCAGATGATCCAGGGGGGTGAGGCTACCGACAGTAGGATATCATAAATTTGGGATATTGAGTTATGCTCAGAGGGATTCTCATGAATACAGTCCTCTAGCCAGCTAGAGGGAGTTTGGAAGGGGAATGCTGAAAAGTCTTCCTAACAAAATCCCTAATTTGAAGGTATAGAAAGAGGTGGGATTGTGAAATATTGAATCCTCTAGCTATCTGAGTAAAAGACATAACAATGCAATCCTTGAACACATCTATCACCTTGCTCAGGCCCCGCCTGGACCACTGCTGGAACGCTGTGTCGAGCAGTGAGGGCGGGAATAATGGATTATTAGTAAGTTGCGTGCAGGAAAAGGCTTGCCTCAGCCCAAAGTGGGCTGCACACAGATCTTTAATGAACCTCTACTGACAGGGTTTCCTGCATATTTCAAATTGATAGGCAGCAGGGCGCAAACCAAAGAGCCCAAGTATGAGACTCCAGACTGCTACGATCCTCCGGCACACAGATCCAAATGGCGATTTTCTGTACATTAGCCGCCCAGTAGTAAAAGATAACATTTGGAAGGCCAGTGATGTGGTAATCAGATCATTAAGTGTGATTAACACCTGCTTTGTTGAAGGTAACACAGAGGCGTTCAAATGTTACAGTGTGGGAGGTACCAACAAGTGAGGAACAATCATTAGTTAGTGTCTTTGAGCTACTTGTTTGACTACCAAAGTCACCGAACACTTGATGCAATCACACAAGAGTTAATCCTTTATTATAAACTCTGTTAGTTTCAGTGATGAAAACTGGCACACGAAAGAAGCCTGGGACTTGAGAGAACAGTACAGTATGAAAAGACTTCACAGAGATAATGACAAGAACACAGAGAAAAAAACACATCCTCTCCGTCTTCGACTAAAGTAGATGCCACAGTCTTTAACCACCTAATGTGATCAGGCGTCTGTCTGTCAGATGGCAGAATTCTCATCCACTCTTTCTTTTCTTTTTTTTGCAAAAATAAAAATGCAATATGCAGCTCTGTTGGAAAAATGCCAGCGCTCCTCTCAAAATGCCGCACCTGAGCTGCTCATCTGCAGCTCATGACCTGGAATAAATGTGATCCCTAACAACCAAATTAAAGTCTGATGTAAATGCCAGACTCATTTTCTCATCAACTCGGTAACACACAACCTGACAGCCCGACAACTCAGGACTTGTAATTCCTCTCTGATTCTCCAAAACATACGGGGCTATAAAAGGTATTTAACATTTACATCGACAATGAATTTCCAGGCGAATTGCCCCTCCAAGATGTTCTGTCATGCTTATTTCAGCGTTCCTTGCAGAGGCAAGTAAGAAACAGATGGTTGCTCTCTGTATGTCTTCATTTGTTTCACTCCAGTGTCTCTCTGCAAGAACATTAAGACAAAGCTGGAACAATATTGAGTTTTTTATGTTTAATTTGGGACTTAAATGCAATAGTCCTTATTGTACTAAAGTTATATAAATGTCATAAATAAATTAACAAATAGTAATTCCCATGGAGCATTAAAGTTTAATTTCAGTTCTTTAATATCCTGAAAAAGAAAAAAATTTAATCAGGATGGAGGTAAAAAGTGAATGAAAATCCATTTAATATTCCAATAAACTAATGTTAACATACAAAGGTGGAAGAAATACTCAGATCTCTTACTTGAGTAAAAGTAGCAATACTATAGTGTAAAAATACCCTGATGTAATTAAAGTCCTGCATTCAAAATGTTACTCAAGTAATAGTTTAAAAGTGTTAGCATCAATATATATATAAAAGTACCAAAATAAAGGTACCTATGATGCAGAATGACCCAGTTCAGAATAATATACATTATTGCATCATAATTATTAATGTGTTTATCACTTATAAGTTGCAGCTGATTAAAGATGAAGCTCATTTTAATTACTTTATATACTGCTAGGTGTATCTTTAATAGTAGTGCGTCATCATTTATTAGTTGAATTTAGTTTTTATTAATAATTTATATCTTTAAAGTAACTAACTAAAGTAATTAATCCTGTGGGGTAATTGTGATTCGTTAGTCACTCCAGTGTAAAGAACAGAGAATTATAAGAACTGAGAGTATGAAATAAAATTACGTAAATATAAATCAATGAAATAAAATAGAAATGAAAATGTGCATTCAATAAAAAGAATATAATGTGAGTTATGCTACAGTGTTTAACACTACTACTTAAGATGTTAAAATCTTAGAAAATAAAATGTGAATTGTCACTGTGCCGAGGCTGGAAGTGTGAAATTTAACTACAACATATATATCAATAGCATGAACAAGAATACAATAAGATTAAACATAAGAAATATGCACCATAAAGTCGCATACTGAAAAATATTATACAGTTGAATAATTGCACTCAAAAGCTAATTATGAATTATATATGCAGAAGGTGAATGAAGTCCAGATGCCTACTGACTCAAAGTGTCTGACACTTGAGTTGTACAGGTTGATGGCCACAGGCAGGAATGACTTCCTGCGGTGCTCTGTGGTGCATCTTGGGGGAATGAGTCTGTCAAAAAAGCTGACAAAAAAATGTAGTTAAGTAAAAAAGTAAAATATTTTGCTGTGAAATGTGAAGTAGAAGTATAAAGTGGCATAAAAATGGAAAGTACCTGTATAAGTACAGTACGTGAGTAAACTTACCGAGTTCCATTTCACCACTGTTAAATACATTTAACTGTTTAGGTTTTTTTTTTTTAAACTGTAGTCAAAACATTTTTTTTTGTGAGAGTAGTTGCAAAAAAGTCTTTCTACTACTTGTAATTGTTCCTATTTTTTAACCTTATTCTAATTATTTATTTGTTGTGTTTATTTAACAGGAACGGTGCACAGCTAAGAGTTAGCTATAAGCTAATTTTCATCTGTAGTCCTTGGGCAGGAAACAGATGATAATGTCTCTGCTACAAGACACTACTGTATTAAAAACACTGTTACAGAATAGAACACATTCATGACACAGTGGCTTCAGCAAGATGACACAACGTCACGTCATCGTAACAATATCAACAGCAACAACAATACAACTACAACACTAAGACATCACAACATCAACAAAACTACAGCATTAAGGTATAACAAGATTTCATAATGTTCATGTGCGATGGGCACATGACTGGGTTGATTTTAGCCATGATTTTATCTTATATTTAAAACCAACAAAGCTGTTGCACTGTCTTATGTCACTTGTTACTGAGCTCCAATAGTATGTAGCTCTAACAGAGAAGACTGAGCTACCAAACTCAATAAATCTGTGCCGTACTACACAGTCACCTCTGCTGGTCAACCTAGATGTCCTTCTATTGTCTGAGCGCAGTTGTTTGATCTCTTTTAATGGAGGAGTAGCCAGATCATTAATCACTTTGTACACTAGACTAGTATAAACAAAGCTGTCGGAGGTCAGTTGATTATTCTTCTGATTGATGTTACAGTGGTGATAACATAATGGTTTTTGTTTTTTAACATCTTGAAAGTAGCCTCAAAAACAGTGTTTCACATTTTAACTTTTTAATATTCAAGTGTACTACATGATTACATGTACTTGGAAGGTTAATGAGGTGCAAGAGTGCAAAAAAAGAGCTCGTTTATTACAAAGATTTAAAAAAAATCCCAGGAAAGGATACCCCTGGACTCCCCCTACAGAAGTTTTGGCTCATCCCCCAGTATCCTTAAAATCCTAGAAATGCCCCTGCATAATGGCCTTAATTAATGTCTATCTTTTTTACTAACCAATAGAGACTGTAAATCAGTTTTAATCGTGAAGTATGTGTGCATGTGCAAGTCCACAGAAATAGGCAAACAGCTAAAAACAAGGACAACACAGCTGCACAGGGTAAACATAAACATTGTGTCATCAACATCTGCTATGTACAGATACAACAACACAATGAAATCGTAAACAGTAGTGAAATGGTGTGGAGTGCAAAGGCTGCTGGAATACGTATGTGATGATTATTGTGACAGGTATCTTTATATACATGAGGTGGGTGGTTATGACAGTATAAACAGTGTGCACAGTGATGTTGCTAATATTTAAAAGCATCTCTGTATACACTGTGTCTTTACCATGCTGCATATACTACATAAACTTATGTGAAATAACTTTCATTATTACACTGATTTATTTCCTTTGTTTGATAATGTCAAATATTAAAAACATTTGAGTTCCAATGCTGAGTGGTGTAAAACCTTGAAATGATATTTGGATACAGAATTTGCTTTCTTCTGCTTGTGTCATTACCATGTTGCATATTTTAAATCAGTGCCATTATAGAGCTGCACACAGTGTTTCCTTCAGTATCTTTTCCTTAAAGACTGCCAATTATCTGGCAGTACAAAGAGAGCAGACAGGGAGGAGACATTTTAAAAATCAGTATGAGAGAATAAATGGCTCAGCTGGTCTCAAAAGTCAACCAGGCTAATTGAATTTGAATCCCAAAACAGGTCTCCATGCTGAATTTAATGTGCATTGCAGGTGGGGCTGCAGTATTTTCCCAGACTCAGATTTAATTATATATTTCTTATTATTTCTGTCCCGAAGGCAGCGCTTTGAGTTGTCACGTTTACTCATGGATTTAAAGCCTATTACTTTGTGGGCACTTGAGGATGTAAAGACATCTACTCGAGTCATTTCACTCGGGCGGGAATGTGGGGCTGAGAAAACACACAATTCAAAACACTTGCTTTTATTTTTGCAGAGAGCGAGCAAGTGTGTTGGTGCATGTTTATGACATGCATTTGGACGTCTGTCTTTTACATTTATTGAAAAGCCTGACTGGGAGACACGCACATTTACCGTTCCCTGTAGAAATGCCTCTGCCGCAGCAGTTTCTGCCTCATCTCTAAGCAAGCATGAAAGCCATGACGGAGATTTAAAAATCTGTGGTAGTGTGCGTTTATCAGCCTGTGATAAATGAGAAATGTATTCAAAGAGATGAAAAGCTGTCTGTCAAGATATTTCAGATCCTCTTTAACATAGCTCCAAAATATGTGTGTGTGTGTGTGTGTGTGTGTGTGTGTGTGTGTGTGTGTGTGTGTCAGTAAGGCAAGAGAGAGAAAATTGGGGACATAACTTGTTCACTATTAACTGTTAATCACTCTTAAATTTTTCTCCTTTAATGATTAAAAGCTCATTATGAGGGTCTCCTGTGTGTGTACTCGCCGCATATGCACATCAGTGTACCTTTTACTGTAGGTTTCCACATTGTGCATGTGTTTATGAGTGCATGTTCAGTCTAAAGGTATCTTCAGTGCAACAAAATTACCCCCTTATTCAACGCTGAGAAAACACGTAATGTCACGGCTCAGACAGAGGTGATACAGGAAAAGAAACGCATGGTGTTCATGTACTTCAGACAGTGTATAAGACACCTGTTGCAGTATTAGGTGCATCATGATTTTCTCCTATGATGGTTGAGATGGAAGTGTATTATGTTCCCAGGGTCCTATTTTCCCCTATTCATTTTTCTGATAATATACAATTGTCACTCTCTGTCCCTAAAATAGCTTTGGTTTACTCTGCATATCAATACAACAGATAGGGAGCCATGAATAGATTAAAATGTAAGATTGAAAATGATGGGTTAGAGTGTGTGTGTGTTTTGGAACCCCTTCTCTGTCTTTTTTACGGTGGCCGAGAGAGGTCACAACACCCGCAAATCCTCACAACACAAGCAAACGAGATAACGCGATGCAATTGCTCACAACACAGGCAAGAAGCTGAACGCTGTGCAAAAACAAAAACACACGCCAAAATGGAGACAACAACGGAGATGATTCCAGGGGGACAGTAATAGGTGACGAACTTACAGGTTGTTGACATTTCCAGACTTTCCTCAAGACGCTGGTCGGAAGTTTAACATTTGTTTTAGGTGGAAGACAAGTAAGTGCAAATAACTTGATCCTCTATAATGTTAGCATAAATTAAAAACTTGTTGGACCACATCAACGTCGATTTTGGTCCGAGCGTCTAAGTTGTTTTTGGGGTCTGTGAGTGATTACGGTCCCCCTGGGAACATTTCCGTTGTCGTCTTCAATTTGGTGTGTGTTTTCGTTTTTGCGGAGTGTTCAGCTTCTTGCTTGTGTTGTAAGGATTTTCAGCGTATATGTTGAGAAATCGATGAGTGTGTTTCCTGAATTTGGGTGTGTTTTCTTAATGTGCGTGTGTTGTGTGGATTTGCAGGTGTTGTGACCTCTCTTGGCCTGTTTAAAGATAGGAATAGTTCGTTGTTATGAATAGCTCACCTTAACCTAACCTTTGACTTCTTTGCTAAGTTTAATCTCTTTAGAAACGGAAACTTCTTTTCTACCCCTTTTTTCTTCCGTAATTAAGTCATTCTCATCGGGGGCATAAACATAACAGTGCATTTGCACTGGGGCCCGTGAGGTGCGGGGGCCCATGCAGAGAGTGTGCCCTCCAATAATGGGCCCTCAAGGAGAGACTATCACCATAGTATTCCTGTGTTAAAAGATGAACTCTCTATAAACATAAAGATTGTGCCATTCACTATACATGCCCTTGAAAAAGGCAAACCCATCATCCCTCTTGTTTTTTTTTTTTTTTTGGCAACAAAATTCTGTTTATTCTACATAAACTATTAAAGTTATTGAATTAAATGAATAATTTATTATTATTTTCTTTGGTATTTTTTGTCATATACAGATATAAAATGACTGCTCTAAAATGTGTTGATGTTGTCCAGTGTCATGCTTCTGTTTGATCATGTGACAAGATGATATGCGCACTGGGGCCCAACGTAACTACATTACACTACTGATCCTCATAATATATATATATATTTTTTTTTTTTTTTCTAATTTATTGGGCTGTTAGTTATTTGGGAACTGTTCTCTCAACAAAAACAGCATCTATATTTAGACAAAGACGTTAGGGAACATCTTTCTTAGAGCTGGGGAACATAGGACCCTGGGATGATAGGAATGACCTCACTTAGGGGAATGCATTCTTTTAAGAAAGTCCATGAATATAATCCATATGAATGCATGTGTGCGCATATGTGGACAAGTGAATTTGTGTGTGTGTGTGTGTGTGTGTGTGTGTGTGTGTGTGTGCGTGCAGATATGTGTTAGGACTCAATTGTCCCTCAGTGATTAATTTGGTCATGTGTTTCTTTGCAGCTTCTCGGTGGACAAAGGAGCCTCCGCAGCAGGAAAGGTGAGATTCACAAGAACTCATTTCCTCTTTGTGTGTGTACGTGTGTGCACTCTAAACACAGCTCTACGTGTGTGTGTGTGTGTTTGTGTGTTTCTGCTGGGACATGATAAATCAATCCAGCTACCTGACTGTCTGTTAACTCCCACACTGGCCCGGAAAATGGAAATGAAGAGTGACGATGGGTCACTAGTGTCACTGAAACTCTTTTGTCAGGATTTTGTCATTGATTGGGAACGACTGAGCTGCACCTGTCAAGTCTCACCTTTTGCCCGCAGGGAATACATTTTAAAGTCTTGGCTAAGAAAAGCGCATGAATTGTCACGGTATCAATAAACATGAGCATTTTTTAATTCCTTTTATTAATGTATAATCCCAAATTCTGGTCAGTCAAAACACTGATAAAGTAATAACAGTGGTGAGGATTAAAGAGCAGCTGATTATTGACTGATGAATGATAACTGATACATGTATACATGCACATTTACTTTATTTCTTGTCATAACATATACTGTAAGTGGACAGCAAACCAAAAAAGAAATTGTTGCAGCGATGAAATAAGCTGATTATTTAGTGGATCCACAGAAAAATGTACAACAATTTTGGTATTCAGTTGATGTTTTAATTAATTTAAAGGCCAAACATGATGGTTTCAGCTCTTTACTTTGCTTTTTTGGTGTAAATCATTGTCAGTTCAGAATATTGGGGGTTTAGACTGTTGTTTTGGCTAAACATGCAGTTTAAAGTCATCACCTTGGACTCCAAGTTTTCTATAATGGCCAGGTTTTCCCAGTTTGAAATATATTTGATGAGCAATGTAGTGCAATAAGCTTTATTGGCATGACATCTTTTATGTTTTGCCAAAGCACAGTGACAGTGAAAATTCTAAAATAATTAACACAGGGTTCCTACGCAAGTATGGAAAGTATGGAAAAGTATGGAAATAAATTTGATCAATTTCCAGGTATTAAAAAGTATGGAAAATGAAAAATAAAGTATGGAAAAATATTTATGTTTCCAGACTATTACCACTGTTCTAAAATACCGTTTTCTAAAATAGAAAATTAGATATTTCCAAAAATAATTTAATCAATCCGGATCGTGTTTTATGCCGGGCCAAGCACAGTTTGTGTGAGAGCAAACGTCTCAGAAAACATATCGCCCCTTTTACCTGATTGACAAGTGGTATGTCCAGTCCGCTGCCCCATGACCCTCCTCCAGCCCCCCAGGTATCAAGTTTCACTCCAACACTACACCTTCGACAAGAAGACGAGTTTCACGTGGTTCACAATGGGTAGATGCAAGTTTTTGGATGGATGGCTTGACAATACCGTATATAAATACTGGTTGGTCAAGGATTCCCAATTCACACACACAGCTAGATGCAAGTTTTGTGTGAAATCGTTTGACATCGCCAACATGGGGGAGAAGGCGATTCTGAGCCACATGAAAGGAAAAAACACAGATGTCTCGTTACTGCATCGCTTGCACCCAGAGTCCCAACCTTTTTGCCTCAGCCCAGACATTGAACTTACCTGAGTTTTTATTTGCATGCCATTATAGTACTTGGCTACAATCGCCTATTAAGAATAATTAAATATGATGTGAAATATGATACACTGATATATTTACTCAGATGTCGCATATTCTCTGAAAAATCTGACGTCTGGAAATTAGGGTATGGAAAAGTATGGAATTTTCAAATTCCAAATGTGTAGGAACCCTGTTAACAGCAATGTTTTATTACAAAAGTGTAGACATACATTTTAAAGGAAAAAAGACTCATTAAGTGAAGGGGTAAATAAAAAGGCAGAGTGTGATCTGTGATGAGATGAACTATATGTTGTTGTGTTGCTTGTCTCTTAGGCTGTGACATGCACTGACATATCTTGCAGCAGCTGTTGCATTTCAGTCTGGTCAGAGAGTGTATTTAAAAATTTACATTTAGTTTTTGTGAATTACTTTGTTCTGACGTCTTCATATGTAGCAAGAAGTGTTGCTCTGTCTCCACCTGTCTCTGAGGACAGAGCTGACACAGCCTGTCTTCTCTGGGCAGCCAGGTCTGCCTGTGTCTGCCAGTCTCTATGGCCAGGCTGTGATCCCTGAGTCTGTACAGTTCAGAGCCAGTTAGCATTGAAGTTTGATTTGGGACTTTGTGCCAGTGTCCAATAGTTGATGTAGTTTTCTTTGTCTTTAGCTATAATTTGTTTGGCACTGGATTGTGTGAGTGTTGTCCTGAGGCCTTGTGCTGTTAGAGGAGGTGAGCCTCAGGAACAGCTGGCTGAGAGGACTCCTCTCTATGTTCTCCTCTTGGCAGAGGAGAGCCTTGTAATGGCAGGAATTGAAGTCACTTGTTTTTAGGTGTTTGTAGAATATAATTGCTCTTTTTTGTTTCCTAATTAAAAGGTGGAATTGACCGGGTTCAGCTCGGCATGCATTGTAAGGGGTGTTCCTGTGGACTCTGCTCTTGCAAATCTCAGTGTGTAGGACTACAGTTGGGTGTTTGTCCCATTTTTCAAAGTCTTGATTTACAAGAGGACCCCACACCTAATGTTAGTTCAATTATAGATTGAAATATTTTGATCCAGACTCTGATATATATATATATATATATATATATCTATGTTGTATATGTTGTAATCGAGGCTGAGAGCAGCACAGACCAGAAGTGAGCTAAACAGATAAGATCTAATGTTTTCATCTTTAGGGATTAACCCCCAAGCATTAAAATCCCAAACTAGTTACTTCACACTCACCAAATCCACATACTATACTATTTTGACATCATCAATACCCCCAAGACAATCAAACACACCCCATCAGCAAAACCAGGCTTTTTGTTTTTGCTCTGTACCACGAATCTGTCCTTAACTCACTCACCATACGGTACTTCTTCTGTTCTTACCGTTGACTTTGGCTGTGACTTTGCAAAGCAAGAGATAGATTGTGTTGAATGGAGAAATAAGAGGAAAGTTGGAGGAGACAGCAGCTGACGGGAGAGAAAGAAAGGGGGCAAGCAGGAGGGAGAGCTCACTTTTCATTATGGGGGTTCTGATGGACAGTCTTCTCCTGACAGAGAGGGGAGGCAATGTACTGCTCTGAGAAACAACAAAGAAGGAGACGGTGGATGTGGGAGGTAGAGGAAAACATTTCCTTCAGACTTGGGTGCAAAGTAGTGATGGGTGGACCGATTCTTTTCAGAGGATCGGTGCCTTTGAGTTGATACATGTAAATGTATTGAACCTTTTGAGTTTTCAAACTGTGTGCAGAATGTGGTGTCAGTTTCTCCCTGATATGCACGTTTGACAGCTGGTGCTACCCCCCCACAAAACTTCTCTTAAATCTGTTACCAGTCATCATGTAATATCTAAGAGACAAAATATTCATTTTAATGCATTGATTCAGCATCACACATGTATGTAGGTAAGCAATGTAAGCTCAGTAGGATGATACAGAAACATGACTGCCAAATGGTCTGTCGTTCTTTTAGGGACAAGTTCCCAGTCGCTCGTTATTACCATGTTTAAACGCTCTGAGCAATAAAATACAACACATCTTCTTTGTAGTGTCCCTGTTGTTTCTACATTACAACCTAAAGCTCGTGAACACACCAAAGTTAGAAGAACAACCATTCAAATGGCATGTAAACGCACCATTGGCCTTGACTGGCAGAGGTGACTAGAGTCCAATTGCTTCTCAGTCACTTACCGTAGCAGGCAGCATGGGCAGTAACCTATAACAATAGCAAATGGGAAAAGTCAGGATTCATGAGCGCTCAGATGTTTGATAGGCTGACCCAGTACATACTGGACACTAAAAAGAGTTGTTTAAAATGATTTGTTCAGGATTTTTAAAGATTATTTTCATGGCTTTTAGCCTTTATTTGATAGTGTAAGTGAAGTGTGACAGGAAAGGGTGTGTGAGAGGGGATAACATGCAGCAAAGGGCCCTGGGTTGGACTCAAATACTGGCTGCTGTTGGAAGTATGCAGCAGTTGTACATGCACATCCTACAAGGTGAGGTGCTATATGCTAAGAGAGTTTGAATGTAATTTATAGACTTTGTTTTAACCTGTTAGCCGTACAATGCATTAACAGTTTGCACTCTTTGTCAAAGGTGCCCTTTTCAGTTGGAAAAAATAAGATGGATTGTTTAAGGAGCTCCCTTATCAGCAGCTCTGGGATAAAGGGGGCTATACAATATGCATACAATAGATGTTGCAGTGTGTTTTCCATGCAGGCTGCCAAATCTACTCAACAAACCAACAAATCTTAATATGTCTTAACAACAAACTCTGTGGTTAAGGTCTGTTGAGCCAAGTTCAGACCAGGGATTCGTGACGAGATGAGTTGAAACAGCCAACTACTTGCAATGCTTAAGTTTAGGCACTGCTTGTTCAAGGACCTTGAAAGAATCCAACACTGTTGGTAGGGGACAGAACACAAACCAGTAAATCTTGTCTTAGGTGAAACTTGCTAGGGTCTCCGGTTCTTCCCATTAGTTTCCCTAGTTCTGTTTCCTCTTGTCTCTGTAGATGGTAAGCCAGAATCTTTTGCTCAAGATAGTGATCATCATGACAAATCTTTACTTCAACTTATGCCATATCTGTGTCTGTTCACTGACTTTGTATATAATCACGGCCCACTGTAACTTTGTGCATAACAACATCATGCATCATTTAAGAGAATATGCATAAGTACAGTTCATTTATAAGCATTTGAACCAATAACCAATGCTGTCAATGTTCTCCATCGACATTAACACATCAGCTACAACTGTATATGAATTACCTGATGTTTGGATTTCATACCTGTAAACCCAGCAGCAATACAGCTTTTGTGTGGTGGTTGTGTGTAAAAAAGCATTTTATGCTCTTCAGCAGCCTCCACTAGTCAGCCCGGAGAATTTATGACCACTTGGTTGCTTTTATCCTCTCCAAGGATTTACAGGTTATTGCCTTCCTTTCCAGTCTCTTGATGAAAAACTGCCAGAACTGTGGGGTG